TCCTTCCACGACGACCTCATAACTAACTTTCCCAAGTCGTTCTGCGACAACTCCTTGCTTCCATGAGAAGTGTGGGGCTTTCCACACCTGAACATATACGTCGCCTCCCTTTTTGAATTCCTTCAAAATGGCGCAGCTCCTTCTATTGTGCTTTCCTTCATCTTCCAGCGATTTTCTTCGACGTACGACCATGCTGATGGTTTGGTTCTGTCCTCAAGACATCTGTGTGGGGTGGTTAGCTGCTTAGCCAGCATAAAACAATTGAACTCGTCCTCGGATGGTTCTCTTCCCCTTTGTTTTCTAGATACTCTCTTCAACGTATTGACTACTTCCTTGGTGCAGCGTCCTACACCTTCTTCGAAAACATCCGGGAATGTTTTCTTCAACTCTTCTTCACGTCTGGGGTTACAGTTGGCCTTCACTTCAGCAGCCATCATTTCTATGTGGTACATCAAATTCTCATGCTCGAATCCATTCGAGTCCCAAGAGTGAGTTGTACGGCGTCACATAAGCGTCTCCTTCAGTAGTGACACCTTTCATGGTAATCTTGCATTTAAGCTTTCCATGTATCTTCATGTAATCTCCACTTGCGTTTTTCACGACTATATTGGTCTTTTCCAATGCTGGGGAGCCCATCTTCTTCCAAATCTTCTCGTTCAGTAACGTGATGTCTGATCCAGTATCGAGAAGGAATTTGACAGAGTAGTTGTTCACTACAGCATCGATGTACACACGGGAAGAGTTTGCCTGAACTGCTGCATTTGCAATCTTGACGATTCGTACTTGCTTTCTCGGACCTCTGTTGTTTCTGTTCCTCGAGAACTTCTCTTTAGTATGCTGAGTTTTCTGCGTCGCGTTGTGCCGACCCGCAGTTCTTATTTGTCGTGAAGTGTCACAAAACTTTTCTCTTTGACCGACCTTCTGCATTCTGCAGAACCACGTTGCCTGGCATCCACTAGCACGATGTTTGCCTTCGCAGTTCCAACATTCTATTTCCTTTCGCTTCTGGACGACGTGGCTTCCACTAGTTTCATAGTTCCGACTAAACTTCACTGTCTCTCTTAAAACTTAAGAAGTTTTCGCACTCCTGATGCAGTTGTTGCAGTGAGACTGTTTTGCCTGCTTTATAGTCTCTATCCAGTATCGCGATCAGCCTTTGCCTGATCTCTGCCCCCTGCTGTGACTTCAGCCCGAAAATCCACAGCAAGCATTTGATGCCGATCTAACTCGTGAATCTTTGCTCTCTCGCAAAATTCATTCACTCGACCGGTATACGTAAGGAAGTCTTCTGAAGGGCTCTTCTCTAGTTTCAGACATTGATATCTCGTGGTAAACAATGACGACTTGAAATCAAACAACTGCTTGAGTATGTGGAGTTTTTCAAAATGTGACCCCAACATAATTCAATCGACGATACGACAGGGACATAACCGCGTTGGGCAGTTTTTAGTACGTGCGATACCCAAGCATCAGCGGAGCAACGGGAGGAAATCATCAATAGAAAAAGTTTACCGGGCCAGTCATTCGCTCCCTACCCGATTTACGATTTGCAATGGTGTGTGTCTTAACGCAGTCGCTGGTAGACATATGTCCAGATTTACGAGGAGAGCTTGTGGTTTGTTGTCACGGTACACAGGCATTCTTCAGTGTCGCGTCAGCGCTAGTGCTGAAGAGATTGTTGCGCGTCGCGAATTCTTTCTTTTCATGATACTTGTAAGTGTACAGAACTATCGAATTGTTAACCAACTTTTCCCGCATACAGTCCTGTGAAGTAGTGATATGCTAGTAGGTAATATAAGTTGATCACTGGTCGGCAATCGTATTTTCATGTTGGGAAAAATTTGCAAAGTGCTACCTTTCCCCTCAATATTTGCCTCTGTGTTACGACGGAGGAGGGTAAGGCAAAGGGGGGGGGGGAGGACGGAGAAGGGATGAGTAGCGCGTGAAACGGGAGCACGCGAGATAAGACTCAATAGTCAACTACCAAAATCATTCTCCTCCATGAGAATCCTGAGTCATGAGTCTCATCATGAGTCATTCTTCTCAGAAGTGATTACGACCAAATACAGCTCTAGCTGGGTATCCGCAACGTACGACTTGTCCTGCATACCGCACGAATATGTTCTGCACGCGACAAATTTGAAATTAAAGTTTTGAAGTATCAGCGAAATAAATTTGTTCACTCTACTTGATTCATGGCTCTGAAAATACAAATATTCGAGCTCTTTTTCAGGACTATATGAATACTGCTCCATCCTCATCTACCCATAGTGCTCCGGACACTGACAGCTCTGGAAAGAAAGGAAAAAGGTACAGAACAATGGATAGTGACTCTGAAGTAGACAGAGACAAAAGAAGGCGTCGAAACGAAGAATCTAAGGTTTGTGCCTGTTCGTTCTTGCATTGATTGAATTTTTCAGTACCATTTAATTAATAACGGGTGAAATTTTTTCTGTCGATTGTTCTGGCGAACCTTTCTTTGATGGGGGGTGGAGGTAGGAAAGGCAATCCTTCAACAATGGCGCTTGTCGAATCGCGATCGAATTGTGTTTCTGACCGAATAGTCCATTAAGTGCTGCTTTAATGGGATAGCAAGGGATGGATTGGCATTGTACATATCGTCGATCATACTCTGATAGAATGACTTTGCCTATTATTGGTCATATGAGGTGTTTCATTATGGTTCTCTTTCAAGACATCTGGAGCTCCAAGCACCAGCCGCTCTAACACGCAACCCTTCGTCCAACTCCGATAGTATTCGAGCGTTGTTCGGCAGCGGTGTTGAAAGAAAGGTTCTTCTATCACCTTTTTGCCAAGGGTAACCTTTCTATTTTTATTTACATCACAGGAACCTCCCGATAAAGGTATTAGTCCTGATTCGGGTGTACATTCGGCAGAGAATGATCCTGGCGATGAAAACGACGTTCACTCTGCTCAAAATATCATCAATTTGATAACCAAGTCAGTTATAGTTTACCTTGCTCCATTGGATACATTAACTCGGATTTTTCTATCATTATTGCTTATAGTCAAGATTAATGTTGATTTAGATTGTCCCCACCTCTTTCACCAATCAAACAACGGCCCTTTGATAAAAAGGCCGAAAGAGAACGTAAGGAAATGGAGATTAAAGAGAAGGTGAGTTGGAAAAAGTAATGTGAGATTCACTCCAGCGTATTTTTTGCAAATATTTATTGCCTGATTTCAGGAAAGGCTCGAGCAACAGAGAAAGGAAAAAGAAGAACGGGAACGTCAAGAGAGGGAGCAAGCAGAACGCGAAGAAAGATTGAGAAATGAGCGCTTAGAGCATGAAAGAAGAGAACGAGAACGAGAGGAGAAACAAAGAAGGGCGAAGGAACGAGAAGAAAAGGAGCGTCGAGACAGAGAACGTGAAGAAAAGGAACGTGAAGACAGAGAAAGAAAGGAGAAGGAACGAGAAGAGAAGATCAAGCGTGAACGAGAGTATGAGGAGAAGCTTCGCAAGGACAAGGAAGAAGAAAAGCTTCGACGAGAAAAGGAACGGGAACGTGGAAAGAAGAAGGAAAGGGAAAGAGACAGACCCTCTTCTGAGAAACGATCCAAGGATTCGGATAGAAGGGACAAAATAAGTGAACGGCCTGAGCGGCCGGAGAAGGTCAAAGTAGAAGTCAAAGTGGAAGATGGCCGAGCGGCAGAAACCTACAGAAAATGAGTATAAATCTGAAGAGCAGGTGAGTTTTTCGAATTTAGTTTGTATTCATCTTTTCTGAGCCTTTTAGGATTTTGCTTATGATTTGGATGTTTAGAGCTATGTCTCTTTCTCCCTGCTAATGTGTTCTCGAAAACGTTCTGTAAGGCGCTCGTAGTGATAAGGAAAGGCTACCTTTCGTCTATTGAATCAGGAGAATTGGCTGGAAGCCTTCGAAGTCAGTTCGGAATGTGGATTACTGGTGGGCCGAGCCAAGATACGGCGTCATTGACGTGCTCATCCTGTGAAGAAGACGGGAAGGAAGAAGGAGAAGGCATGCCAATGACGTAGTTTCTCCTCTGCAATCCCTTCTGGTGCTTTTAGGGCACGTTCCCCATTCATTCGATGTTCGGGCGCCGTCTTTGGGCGTGGTACAACTATCGCAGCTCGAAATGACGTGAGGAGAGCGCGACCCGTTCGTGACGAGTGCACGGTTCCGCCCACTGGCCAGGGCAACGCCCAGCTCTCGTTTTAACTGCCATTAGGTGGTGTGGCTATTCCCCCGTGAGACCTCGTTCGACCACGCTCATTGTTCGTCTTATGCATACACAAGCGCGGTTTGGCATGGGGTTCTATATGGGGCGTTTCGGGTGGGTTTCGGCGCTTTTTTGTTCCCCACCTTTGTGTTATTTACCTTATAGTCATTAGTATTTAAGCCGCACAATTGAGCATTTTCCTACGCGGGGAATGCCTTTAGGTCGTGTGAAATGAAACAAGGTTTCTCTTATTTTCTTGTTTCTGAGCTGACTGCCTAGTGCGGCAAGTACTAGTCCGTTTGGTGACCTTGGCAAGTAGAATTATTCCCATCACTGCACTTCTTGGAAGCGAATTTTTGCTGCTTTTCATGTATCAAAATTGTTTTCTTCTTCTTGAGAGTGCGTTCGCACCTTTTTTGCTTGCTTCTTCTAATACCCCATGATTTTAAAATTATATCTGAATGCAGTATTCATACTCATTTTTTAGGCGTTGCGTGCAGATGGCTTGCGAGGAGAGATCATTCTTAAGGGTCTTGATCGCTCTAGATTGAATCACCT